AGCTAGTTACACATAAAGGAGTTTTGAAATATTCGGTTCAAATTGGCTACCTATTTTAGTCTGTCAGTTCTCTTTTATGAAACTGAATAGTATTTGCGCAGCGGCTCACAGCAGCAGCTGGCTTTTATGCTGTGTGCTTCGTCCTTGGCTGCCTGTTGCTAAAATGCATGAATGTTCCAGAGTGACTTCCATGTTGTTGTTTTGTTGCAAAGTTTGTGGAGCTAGACTGCCCCAGGATGCCTTTGAAATGTTCATCTGCTGAGCCTGACTTTACTGCATGTCGGTAAAAGGCAGCTCTACAGAGGATCTTTATTATGAAGCAGTCATCTGAATGTGTATCACTTGTTCCAGTAAAGTTCACCCAAGTTCAGAGCGGGAACTTGAAAATCTTCGTAACCAAAACCATTATTTATTTTTTTTGAACAACAGTTGGGTGGAACTGGCGCATACTCAGTGTATTTCCCAGTGCCCCTCCTCTGCAAAAAAAGCTGTGTTATCCGGCATTAGTTTGCCGTTTATTTTCTCGTCTTCTGTGAAGCAATACGGCAGGTCATGCCAAAACCTTTCTTTAGCTACATAGCACACGGTAATAGAATGCGCCACTGTCTTCTAAGTCCTTTGGCTGCAGCCTGTGTGGAGGGGGTGTCCCGGTGTTATCTCTGGGCGGGTGAGCATGTGCCTGGGTTATGCTTTGCAATGGTGAATGTGGAGCTGCAGGAGAAGCTCAGGACTCTGAGTTTGGAGGACACGAGGTTCAGTTTTCGACTGCATCCCTTTGCAACTGTCCCTTAACTTCTCTGTAGGTCTGTTTCCCCAACAGAAAATGGGGATGTGGCTGCCCCATCTGTCCCTGGAGATGATTGATGGGTTGAGAGTATTTAAATCTTCCTGTAAGCCATACAGTGCTATAAGCATTCTTATCAGAAAACTATTCTAATGTTTCTTGAAATCCAGCTAGTATGTGTGACTCCAGGAGAATTCCAAACATCTCACAGTAATCCTATAAGGACCAGACCACTGAACTTCGGGAACGAACGAGCATATTGCAAAGCCCAGCCTGGTAAAGACGGGCAGCCAGTGCTGGCACCAGGTCCCGTGTCTTAAGCTTCTTAGGAAACAGCACATGAGTCCACACTCCTCAAGGACACTTTATACTAAAGTTCAAATATTTCTCAGCAGTCTTCCCCTCCCACCCCCACACCAAGGGCAGAGTATGAACATCTCTATCACTGTGTCAGTTTAATAGTTCTATGATCAAAGGGAAAACATTCTTTGCTCACATATTAGTATGGGGAATTAAACACATTTCCCTGACTTCTCAAAAGAAAACGTGTTTTCCAGAAATGAAAGATTTAGCACATAGGTAAAGAACCTTCCAGATCACCTGGGCAGCAGTACAGGCTGAGGGTGGCTAAGCCAACCATCTGACTGTGAAATATCCATGTGCAGAGGCACAGAAGTCAGAGTTTCCTAAAGAGTTGACTGACCTTTAGAACTTTTGATCATTAAAGTTAACTAAGCAGAACAAACAAGAACAGCAGAAGGAGGATGAGAGTCGTTTCATCTGGGTTTTTAGATCTTGGCATTGCATCCACAACCTGCAAAGGCAAAGTCAAAATCGTATTCAGTGGATGTTCAGAGCGTTTCCCTTCCCGGTTTCTGCACTTCATACTGACAGCAGTGGATTCTTACATGCCTAGCAGGGAGGAGAGAGGTCCTTCACACCCTGCTCTGAGAGAGTCCACTTTGGCTTGAAAGCCACTGAAGAGCTCAGATAGCAGTTCAGATGCACTAATGGAAACCTAAATGAATGCTGGCTGAAGCAAGATAAGTTTATTCCCTTCTCACTTAAACGTCCAAGTGTGGTAGCTCTGCTCCAGGAAGCAGTCAAGGTTCCAGCCTTCTCCTCTCTTGCCATTTCATCATCCATGTGGTCCAAGACGGTGGACCACCACCACCCCCATCCCAGCTAGAGCAAAGAGGAAAGAGGTGAAGACCCACTCTTCCCCTGTAAGTATATGACCTGGAGTTGCACTCACCACTTGGCTCACATTTTATTGGCCAGATGAAACTCAATCACATAAAAAGGTAGAATGTATAGCCCTTAAATTGGGTATCCATGTGCCCCACTCAAAATTAGAGGATTTTATTACTATGACAGAGAAGGAGAGAAAGGATACTGAAAGAGTACTGCTAGTTCTCTGCTCCAGCAGCTATAAACTGTATTTCATTTGATAAATCATACCATGAGAAAGTTTAATTGTACAGTTGCCCTTCCATGAGTTAGGTGTTAATGAACTGGAATTTCATAAAGATTTGATTATGTTTTCTAAATCTGGCTTTGACCAACCTGGCACTTGCTGCCAACTTTTCAACCTTTTCTCCCCATAAACTAGCCCACCCCTGCCCCTGTACCACCACCACTTCCAACGCCCACCGGTGGCTGCTGTTACTGCTGTGTTCTTGGAGAAGGACGCATCTGTCTCCCTGTGCAGGTTGATGTCCATGCCACCTCCCAGTCATCAGCAAGGCCAAGGTGGTGAGCAGAGCTGGCAGCCTTTGTGGGGCTGGTAGGCTATATCTCCTGAGGGAGCCCCTGCCAGGGGCGGAAGTCACCAGGGTAGTCGGGGACGCAGATGCCTTTTCTTGGTGGCAGCATTGCACCGTCACAGCTAAGTACTGTGCCAACCCTAAGTATTTTTGTTTTGAACCTCTTCACCCTTGAGGTATGAAATGAGGATTAGAGAATTTGCTGCATATTGGTTTTCAGGATTTATGAGTATGAACAAAAGAGAATTCACACTCTGATCCTTATTCAAAATTTTTTTAAAAAGCAGACATTCTTTCATTTGGGGGGAACATAAAGGAGTATTCAAAAAATGTTTGAATAAAGCCCTTTGTAGCTTTCTATGGCATACATGAATATTTATAACATTTAGGAGGTAGACTAGCAATGGATTAGAGGATAATATGCTGGCCGGCTGCCACCAGCCCAGCCTGCATAAAGCATGCTGATAGCCACGGTGCTGCTGTATTAGGAGGTTGGTTCTGTTTCAGACATACCCATATTTAGGTGGGTTTATTTATGACTGTTATTTTAAGATAGTCGTTTTATTTTGAATGAGAAGCCTATCCAAACTTCTATACTTCTGGAAACATGGATAGAAGCTAATTCATGAGGGAAGGGTAATGTTTTGAATCCCTGTGTTTTTGTATCACTGATCGTGCCATTCCATGGTTAGCAACAATATGTTTTCTATCATCAATAACATTATCACAAGATTCATGGTGAGAGCACTGGACATATATCAAGCTATGGGAAAAAAGTCTCCAAGTAAAACTCTTAAGTGTTCAAACCCCCCAATTCCCAGACCTTTCCAATGCAATAGAAATCTACAAGAGGACTTGGAAAGTTTACTTCTTCATATAGAACACATGAACTGGGCTGAATGCAGATGTTCCGAAGGGTATGTTTCAAGGCAGTTAAATATGTGTAGAATATCTAGGCAAAGAATTTTTCTATAAAATACAAAAGAAATCCAAAATGTAATCCTTGGCTTTTAGGAGATAATATGCAATTGAGAAGATAAAACACAAACACTTGAAATATTAAAAATCAACAAAAGCTATAAAAACTAGTTTCAACAGTAAAAGAGATGTCAAAATGGAGAAAACATAGTTTCTTCAGCAAGTGGTATTAGGAAAGCTAGATGGCTACATGAAAGTCAATGAAATTAGAACACTCCCTCACACCATACACAAACAACAACAACAACAACAAAACCTCAAAATGGTTTAAAGACCTAAATGTAAGACAGGACACCATAAAACTCCTAGAAGAAAACATAGGCAAAACATTTTCAGACATTAATCGTAGCAATGTTTTCTTAAATCAGTCTCCCAAAGCAACAGAAATAAAAGCAAAAATAAACAAATAGGACCTAATCAAACTTACAAGCTTTTGCACAGCAAAGGAAACTTCATAAACAAAATGGAAAGACAACCTACGGAATGGGAGGAAATATTTGCAACTGATGCAGCTGACAAGGAGACAGAGAAAGACAAGGGCTTAATTTCCAAAACACACAACATACAAGCAACTCAATATCAAAAAAATTTAAAAATTAAAAAATCAGCAGAAGACTAAATAGACATTTCTCCAAAGAAGACAAACAGATGGTCAACAGGTACATGAAAAGATGCTCAACATCGCTAATTATTACAAAAATGCAAATCACAGCTACAATGAGGTATTGCCTCACACCGGTCAGAACGGACATCATTAAAAAATCTACAAATAATAAATGCTGGAGAAGGTGTGGAGAAGAGGGAGCCCTCCTATGCTGGTAGTGGGAGTATAAATTGGTACAGCCACTGTGGAAAATAGTCTAGAGTTTCCTTAAAAAAACTAAAAATAGAATTATCATGTGATCCAGCAATCCCACTCCTGGGCATATATCCAGAAAAGACAAAAGCTCTAATTCGAAAAGATACATGCACCCCAATGTTCATAGCAGCACTGTTTACAATAGTCAAGACATGGAACCTAAATGCCCACTGACAGATGGAATGGATATATATACATGTACACACACATACATACATACACATGCACACACACAGAGGAATACTACTCAGCCATTAAAAAGAATGAAATAATGCCATTTGCAGCAACATGGATGGACCTAGAGATTATCATACTAAGGGAAGTAAGTCAGACAGAGAAAGACAAATATCATTTATCACTTATATGTGGTATCTAAAAAAATAGTACAAATGAACTTATCTACAAAACAGAGACTGACAGGCATAGAAAACAAACTTATGGTTACCAAAGGGGAAGAGGGGAGGAGGGTTAAATTGGGAGAAGGGAATTAACAGATGCACACTACCATAAATAAAATAAACAAGGATTTACTGTATAGCACAGGGAACTACATTCAATATCTTATAATAAACTATAATGGAAAAGAACTGAGAAAAAAGAATATAGTTCTCTCTCTATATATATGTGTGTGCGTAACCAAATCACTTTGCTGTATACCTGAAATTAACACTATTATAAATCAACTATACTTCAATAAAAAAGAGATGTCAAAAGGCAAAATGCAAAGAGGTAACTTCCTGCAGCTTATAAGAGGAAAATAAAACCATGTTAAATATAACAATGTAATATAATCAAATCCAGACTTGTTACCCTGAGCACCCATCCAGCTTCATCTCTCACGTCATCTCCATACTCGGTCCCAGTTGGTGAAACCAGCCTTCTTTCTTTTCCTTCCTAGCTCAGGGCCTTTGCGCTAGCTATTACTTTTGCCTGAAATTGTCTACCCCCAGTCCCATGTCTGGCTCCTTCACATCATTCAGGTCTTAGCTCATGTGTCCCTTCCTCTGAGTGGTCTTCCCTGACCACCCTTCAAACATTCTTCTCTCTGCCACACCTCACCAGACAGCTTGTTCTCAGATACCTTGCTCTGAAGCTGGTTTCACAATCCGAAATGCTCTTCTTTATTGCCTCTTCATTGCCTGTCTTTTCCACTAGCATGTAAGTGTCCTTGACCAGGTATCTTATCTGCTTGGTTCACTGATACTTCTCTAGCACCCAAAAAGCTGTCTGGCACATCATAAGTATGCAAGAAATGTTTGTTGAATAAAAGAATAACCCAATCATATTCCAGTGTTGGACTTAGTGAAATAGGAACAGTGCATGAAAGCATTTTTAGAGGAATTTATGTAACAAGGGTTTAACCCAATAGTATTTTCTACTTTGTTAGAAAAATCTGATTAAGCAGAATGTCCCAAGCATTTTGCATTACTGTTACGTTATGCAAGATGACTCCCTTAGCCTTCTGTTCCTCACTGGACATTATTCTGTCTCCCCTCCTCCCTGTGTACTGTGTCCGTCCTTCAGTGTCCTTCCCTGAGGGCAGAGATGTGAGTGTACCTGCACACTTGCCTGAGCTGCTGGGTCCCAGGATCACCATATGTACAATATACCATGAGCAGCATGCCTGTTACACACTTGTATCCATATGTCACACACCTCTTGGATATTAAAGATCCACAAGATGGGGCTCAGGGTTCTTCCTCAGGATACATATATGAAGGCTGGCTCAGCTACTGGGCCATTTTATCTTTTATCTCTGGTCCTTACCGTGCACTTAATTCCACTTGGTTGCTATCATGGGTCTTTGCAGGTTAGAGACATATATGTTTCTAGATCTTGTTGTGGAAAAAAACTCTTGTCCCAAGATATGAGGGTCTGAGTAAAATCATCAGAATGGTATGAATGTGGTTTTTACACATGCTAAGTGAGGAGTGGTTGGCTGAGATCCTACGTTTGATAGGCATACAGACGGAGCAGAGGCAAACCTGTAGGGAGAGAAAGAAGAAAAGAAAAAGCAATCTGGCAAACATTAAGGAGAAGGATGGCAAAGATCTCAAGGGAAGGACAGACAAAAACTTTTGAGGGCAGGCATTTAGATGCCTAAGGTCAGGGAGCAACGTCTCAAGGGACTCGGAGCAGACAGGCTGCCTGGCCTAGGAAGTGGACGGCTGTTCTGGCAGCTGGCTGTGAGTGGGAGGTCAAGAGAATGTAACAGTGCAAGGTGGTGTTGTCTGGAGGGCCTGCTGGTCTCAATTTGAAAGACAGACATCGAAGTCCACTCCACCTCAGGGATGGAAGAGCCAAGGGAGAGCTCAGTCCGGGCAAAAGACTCAGCACAGAGCTGGCCAGAAAAGCTGGACACAGCTGGAGAGGCCTGGTGGGTCACTGACCGTCTGCAAAGAAGTGAAGGTATAACGTGGCCAGCCCACTCCTGAGGGGAGGGTGCCACAGTAAGTAAACGGGGAGCTGGGCCCCCAAGTCTGAGAAGAGGCCCCTCTGACACCTCATTGGATTCAAGGGAAATTCCTTGCATCCGAGCTTGAGATAGATTTGCGGTTGGGACCATAACCTCAGGGCCTCTCGCCTGGGACAGGCTTGAGTGCGGCCAGCTGGTCACTCCCTCCTCTGGATAGCATCTTTGTGCTGGCCACTCTGTGACTCAGGCCCCAGGAAGGACATCTGCTTCCGAGTCTGTCTATTTTCAGCTTCATAAAGAAAGAAATACCTGAGGGTAGTCCTTCGCATGCTGCCTCATTTGTCCTTTCTGAGCTGCCCGTGTGAGTCCATGTCCTGACGGAGATGCATCAGCTTTCAGCTGGGTCCGTCTCTCAGCCCTGTAGGTGAGGACCTGTATGAACATACTGACTCTTGCAAATAAGCTCTGAAGACCCTTACTTAGAATTCATCCCAAGGAAAGTGTGGCTGTGAGAAATTGAGAATGTAAATTCCCCGAGGGGAGCCTGGCACGCTAGCTGTGGGCTGCTTTCTTGGCTAGCATCATCCAGGGCCGGCCAATGAGCTGACCCTAAGGTGGTGATTCCCAGCAGGGGTTGGGGCTATGTCAGAACCAGTTCAGCTGTGGAGAGGGGCCTCACACTGTCCATCTACACTGATTCAGGCACCTTCTAAAGGAGCAAGGGTTGGGGGAGGGTATAATCAGTGGTAGAGCACATGCTTAGCATGCACAAGGTCCTGGGTTCAATCCCCAGTACCTCTGTTAAAAATACTAATTAAAAAATATTTAATTAAAAAAATAAATAAACCTAATTACCTCCCCCCCCCCCGTCTAAAAAAGCAAGTCTCAGAAGAATTATGTTAGGGAAGAAAATCTATTTAAATAAATAAAGAAGTGCGTTTTCCCTCTGCCCCTGAATTACAAATCGCTGTTTTAATAAGCTAGTTGGTAATGGGAGTGTGTCATAACCTCAGGTTTGTTGCGATGGGGAGGGAAAAAAAAAAGATGAGAAGCTCTGCTTTGGAGTCATCAGGTATTTTCCCAGTGCCCCGGCATTATAGGAGAGTTGCCACTCCTGCTCCAGGCAGGCCAACCTGCTCCGGCAGGACCTCCAAGCCTAGGGTATAATTTTTGGCTTCATCCCTGCTGTGGCAGTTGGATAATAAAGCCCATGTCTTTTAACCTTAGTTTCTGCCAACCTTCCTTAGCTGAGAACAGCAATGAATAAACACTCATCTGCTGTCAAAAATAATACATGAGGCTTGTCTGCAGAAGGATAGGACGACTAATTAGATGGCTTTTAGTGGAGATAAATGCAAAGTCCTCCCCTTGGGTCCAAGAGACCAACTGCACATCTACAGAGAAGGAAGCTCAACAAAGTTGGTGGAGAGATCTGATTCACGATTAGTTCAGATGTCAGTAATGTGACTTTCTTTAAATCGTGGGCTTGGATGTGTATCATCTTCTAGATCAAGGAAGGAAAATAGTTTTGCTTCTGTGCTCTGTGATTTGCCTAGTGTGGGGCACTGTGCAAGGGACTGTCCAGAACAGACCCGAAACTTAAGAGAGGTTGCTGAAGAAAGTGGCAGTATCTAGGCTGAAGCAGAAAAGACTTGTGGGTGAAGAGATGTCCATGATAGCCATCTTCTAGTGTTTGAATAACTGTCCTGTTTGAGAGGAACTAAACGTGATTGTCATAGCTCCAGAGCTCAGAACTAGCATCGACGGGTGAAAAGCAAAGGGGGAAAGATTTGACTCAGAGTAATAAAGAAATTTCTAATAGTCATGAAAGGCTCAAGATGCAAGGGGTTGCTTTTGGAGGCAGTGAGTTCCCCGTTGCTGGATGCACTCAAGCCCGTGTTTCTAGGCAGCCTTTAACGGCATTGTACCCCTGGAGGCAACGGAAGAAGGGAACGTAGGAAGTGTCCTTCGGCAACCCCAGGGAAGTGCCTCGTAGCTGTTAGTAGCATATTAAATACCGCAGGTGTCAGTGGGTGCAAAAGAGGGTGGAGTTACAATATCAAGTTAACCCTTCCGTGGCCTCGCGACAGCCTTCTGTAACTCCGCAGTGACCAGCAGGGCTGGTGGAGTTCAGGTGCTGTTCCTGAGGGTTTACGTGTTGCAACGTTATTGTGCAGCCATCACCAAGGAAAAGAATGGACCTCACTGCAAAGCCAGATTTGGATTTCAAAGTTAAAAGGAAGTTGTCTTTGAGTACAATTAAAAAGGATACGTCAAAATTAAAACCATTGTTAAAATTAATCAAAGATTTAGAAAGGCAGAATGAACTCCATAGCTGGAAATTACCGATTTAAACAATTGTTCTCACATTTGAAACTACATAATGAGCTAAAAATTATGAAGCCTCAGAGTATGACTATAAAGAGTAGTCTAAAACCCAAGTCAGAATGAAATGTTTTAGCTTTCACACTAAAAAGCAGAACAATGACTCCCTACGAAATGGTATAGGAAGAGGTTTCTGACCCCTGCTAATTGTTTTATTATTCTTCAGAGGGGCACACTGGCAGCATTTCCCAGGGTTTTCAGTAATTACACTCCATTCAATATCTGAAGAATTACAATAATTCTACATGGAATATACTTGTGCCCTTTGGATGCAAAGCCTTTGGAGAAGTGAAAAAACAACTTAAAGTAAATTAGCAGGAAAATTATCGTAGTTACTGTTTATTTCAGGGCTCCATATATCAGAGGCTAATTATACATTGTATGTTACATTTTCTTGGAGGTATTCGTAACATATTTCTCATGCTGATCAACTGGACTTGCTGGTTTTCAAGATCCTTTATGAAAGTGACGTTCGAACTTCTCCAATTGCCTCTGTGTGTGTGAGAAATTATCCAGTGGGGACACATGTCACCTCATGCTTGCCAGAGTCCTCGAAGCGGTAGTATGCAGCGAGGAATTATGAATGTTCACCTGTATATATTTGTAAAGCCTCAACTCCTCTATGAAATTTTTTTCCTGCCAAATAAGTTGATCTTTTAACACCCCATCAGCTTTCTCACAGTCGCTTTCTATATTTTGGCAAGCCAAGGGTCCACAAGAGAAGAAAGCCAGGACTGGAATCAAATAGCCACTCAGAGATTCTAAAGTCTCTTTTGTTGGCTGTAGCCTTACCAGTTTTCTGCTATTGTGAGAATTAATCCGCCATCTCTGCAGGAGGGCCTCAAGATCAAAAGTGTCCTGTAACATTACACAGACTTGGGTCTCAGTTACCCTTAAAATACCATGAGCAAGAGATGTACATCGTGGCTCAGAAATGGCTTTGGTCTCACTCATGTTTTTCCTCATGTTTCTCCTCATGTTTCTGTCTGTCGTTTTTTTCCTCCTTCCTTTTTTTTTTATTTAAACTAAGTTGAGTGCAGTTCAAAAGGTTTCCTCATAAGTTTTGATGGCAACCAAAACTTTACAAAGAAAAGAAGATCACCTAATGACAAAATTTTAAAGGTTAAATAAATTGTGATCCATCCGTATGACTGATACCTACTTACTTTAAAAAGGTTTTAAAATGCAAATGGTGTGGAAAAGAGTCTTGGTGCCATGAAAAAAGATTCAAATCAAAACGGAAATATGTATGTTCTGTATGACTTCCATTTTTGAAAAATATGCTTATGTATTTATTTTTTAAGTATTAGAAGGAAAGATACCAAAATATTACTGCAGTTACTCTGTGAAGTGATATTCTATGTGATTTTTATTTTGTTCTTTACATTTTCTGATTTTCTAAAATGTGCCCATGTTAGTGTTCTAATCAGAAAGGCTGAAGAAGGAAGGAGGGAGGCGATCAAGTAGTTAAGGTTCACCTTAAAACACACACTTTTGCTGGAAGATGAGGAAGGTTCGTAACGCACAGTATATAGAAAAATGTGGAGATGGAGTATCTTGACTATGATCGCTCAGGCAGTGGAATCAGATACTTCATTACTGAGCCCTATTCACTGTGAGGAACTTGAGAAGCTAACCCTTCTCCAAATCTACAGTAGTTAACAGATTCTCTTACCAGTGCACAGCGGCCTCGGGGCTGGTGGAAACTAGTCCTGAGGAGTAAGGTACCGTCTCAGGAACGACAGACTGCTTGCCTCTTTCCAGTAACTAAACACATTATACCTCAACCAGTTGCCTCTAGAAAATCAACATCTCAGAACAGGCTGTTTTTCATGGTTCCAGGTGTTGCCAATAAACAATGGTTTATTCTCTTTGTTGGATTCTACGCTAACCTGCATTTCAGTTTTCCTGTTTTCTTTATTCTTTTTAGCGCATGATTGCAAATACTGCCAGGATGGTGAGATACTGCAGGAGCCAGCCCTTCAGTAAGTTAAATGCTGCTGCAATGTGGATCTTGGTGATTAAGTCCTTTCTAATGAAGCTGCTGAGACAGTCTAGAAGTCTGGGCGGTATTTGATTGTGTCAGAGCTGCTTTGGAGCATGCATTCCATGGGATAGGGGCCTTGAGTTTAAAATTCTCTAGCTGTAAAATGGAACATTCTTTTATGAATGAACTTATGGGGACTGAACTTGCTCTCTCCAGAGCAGCTAGAGACAGTGAAGGCAGGATTGCCAACACATCTTGCCCGAAGCTGACTTTCTGACTCACTGCTTCGTGGTGAGAAACTCACGTCAACTCTTGATGACTCACTCTGTCGTTTATAAACTGAGAAAGATATTTATTGTCTCTCAGGGTGTTGCAAGAATGCATTCGTGTGTATAAGCACATTTGTAAGTGAAAGATCCTATAGCAGGAATTCATATTGTATGTCTAGTACTTCTAGGTGAATTAAGATGCTCGTCTTAAATCTGGACATATAGCATAGTAATTGGTATAACACAGTGCTTTAATATAAAACTGTCACAAGTAATAAACTGCAAGTTTAAACTGCCAAGAGTTAAGTTGCATCATAGCACCAGATCATCATGCCAGGCAGGTGCTACTGTCTCCTCTGGGCTGGGCTTTGTGGGGGGGGTGGGTACTTTGGCTCCCTCAAGCTGGGCTGGGAGTGACAAGGTGGCCCCTGTAAAGTTTTTGCTCCCTTTATTGTATGAGGCACTTGAAGTAATTGGGTTCATTAACTTAACATGATAATTTGACACAGACATGACTGCAAGGCTAACCAGTACCATCCCCTCCAATAAACCTCGTGCTAAGGGACTAAAAGGTTCTCGTTTTATTAATCAGGGCTATCTTTGCTCTTCCTAGCATAGGACTGGCCCCTAGCAAGGGTTTGCTAACACAGGATGCCAGAACTGCTAAAATGTTCATTTTTTAACACACTGATGGGGGAAGGGGGAATCTAGGAAAAATAGTCTTGACTTGGGGGGCAAGTAGATCTTTAAAAAATTGATTCAAATGATTGTGCTTCC